CAGCTGTATCTGATTTCTGCTTGGTGTTTAATAAAACAAGTCTGCTTAGTAAGTAGGCTGTCCATTGCAATGGGTTGTCTTTGCACTTGTCCGTGCTTGAGTTCTTTACGTTTGAGTGTTGCTTAAGTTCCTTTTGTCAATAATTAGGCTTTCAACAGCTGGCTGTTTAAGCTGTCTGAAGTAGTCATCTCCATGTCTACCTCCACTAACTTATTTCTCTCCCTACTAGCACTGTGTTTATACGGCCCCAGGGTGAAGCAGGCCAGGGATTTTTTTTTTCTCACTGAAACCACTCAGACAGCTTTTTTTCTTCTCAGCCCTTTTTCTTACTGTTGTTGCTCATTGTTCAGAAGGTGAACTAATGACAAAATGAGAAGGGCAGAAGGAGTGTGTAGGAGTTGCCAGTTAAACTCTTATATGAAAAGCTAAGCAAGTACTTGAGCTGACCCTGTGCGCTCACCCTATGCTGACCTGAAGCTGCTGTTGGTTCCTATTTCTGTCTAATTCTGCTTATTATCTTACAAAACTAAGAAGGTTTGTAAAATAAGCTTATAAGTGGTTTTTTGCTTGTTTGTTTTTTAGGTCCAGAGTGATCTCTATGTTTTACTTTTGTTTTGGTCTCTGGAAGGTAAAGGGTGAAGCTCTTGAATTAGTTGAGATGCAGATATAGTTTTGTTTTGTTTTCAAGGGGAAAAATAGTTCTGTACTCTACCTCACCTTGTTATAGGTGAGAATCAGAAAGATTAATCCTGCTACTGAAGGGAATTAGAGAATTGTGATTTTATTTTTATTATTATTATTATTTTTTAACTTTTTGGTAATACTGTCCTTCAAAAAGTTTTCTAACACTAAAATTTCGTTGATGCAAATTGCATTAGAACATGAATCAATTTTTATAATAGGCAAGCATTTTGAGAAAAAAAAATAAAAAGTGCAACAAAGTTTGACTTTTACTCCTTAATTTCTCTATCAGTTTTGATACTCTTTTTCACAAGGGAATTTTTTTCTTTGGAAATTCTTTTTTTTCTCGGAAGGCCAACAGAAATAGAAGAATAGAACTGTGAAAATGGATATTGGACTAGTAGAGAGTTGTTACATAACACAGATTGATGACACAGATTGATTGTTTTAAACTACTTTAGCACCTGCATGCTTGATTAAACAGCTAAACATGCTCTGATTAAACACAGCTGTCAGTCCAGTACCATTCTCATGGTGTTTACTTGTTTTATCATTGTGCGATGTAGAGATTTGGTGTAAGCAGGTACCAGAGCAGACAGCAGCGGATAGCACAAGTTGACACTCCCCAAAGTCACTGTGATATGATGGGAAAATCCCAAACATTGCAATCTGAAGAATAAATTAATCATTGCTATTAATTCAGGGGTGAGAAAACTGTTGCTTCAAAAGATAAGTGATAAGTATTCAATCAATAATTTCTTTGCATGTGCCCAGAGCACTTTCTGATGTTGAGCAATTCATAATTGAGCCCATAATTTGAGAAACCTTTAAATTGAGCTTTACCTAACCAGAATGCTTGAAGAATAAGGATAGACAGTGGTTGTGAACTTAAAAATTGTAAGAGAATGAAATGTGTATATAGAGTCAGTGTGTTCGCCTCCTCTTTCTGATCCTTTTTATTTCTGGGTCTCACTTGGTTGAAGCCCAGTTGGATTTGGTGAATCTGTGAATACAAAGTTAGGTAATGTGATGTAAATTATACTTATTTAAGAGGGAAAAAAAATCATGGGACTTTGTTGTTAACTGCTGGACACTTAAAGATGTGCAATACAATGGGGTTAGAGATCATGAAAATTGCTTATAGTGTCTTATCATTAGGAATCTAGTAGCTGAAATTGTGTATACTTAGTTAAAGGCTGGTGTGTTCTGTGGATAAAGCTAAGAACACGCATTATGCAGTAGAAGGTGTTCATACAGACAAGATAGACTTCTGAGAGTTTTATAATCACAGCTGGATCTCAAGGTAAACGTCAGCCAAAATACCTGTAAGCCTATGAAAACATGTGAGTTCTAGTACATGTGTCAACTTTGAAGGCAGTACAGTCTGAAATGAGGCTTTTGCAAAACCCTGCTGTGGTGATGGCTTTTGTAGAGGAAACTCAAGCCTTACAAATGCATGAGAAGTTCTTCAAGAGAGTCTATGTGGCTAGTGTCCATCTACTTAGCATAGTAAAAGATGTTTCTCTGAATTAGGGAACATGAGTTGAATTCCAAGAGGTCTGGAAGGAAAAGCCTGAATGACACTTCCTCCTAGTACAGTATAGAGTTTCAACTTCTCTATAATAAAAATAGAAGAGGTATTTAAGTTTATTAGTTCATTTTCTTGGCAGAAAATTGATAAAACAAGTCATGAGTGAGAATACAATATAACTTCTCTCCTCCTGCTTCCCCCCCCCTTCCTTTTTTTAAAGAGTGGTATTTGAATGTTTATGAAACTAAATAAAAAAATAGGACTTGTGTAAACTGTTAAATGCAGGGACTTTTGCCTCTAATGTCACTGCGGTGTTGAGCAATATTTTATTTGGTTGTAAAGAAGTATAGTAGGAGCTTCATAAGAATTCACTCTTTTGTGACCAAGTTATTTTCGTAATAAGTATAGAAACCTATATGAACTGCTGCTTAAATGTTTTTAAATCTTTTAAAAAGAATAAGGAAGTCTTTTAGCTCTGTGAAGACCATGTTTTAACCTTTCAAATGAGGTGACCTGGCTACTCTGGCTTTCTTTTTCCATTTGTGTTTCCTGACTACTCCATGGTGATTGCGATTATTTGGGTGCTTTGAGGCTTCCCTGTATGCCAGCGTATTTGGCAAGGGAACACACTGGTTTACAAAGCAAGCAGACCAGACGGCTGTTCATTCAACCTAGTTAGTGTGGTGCATGTGCCAAATTTTTCTTTTTTTTTTTTTTTTTTCTTTTTTTTTCTCAGGGTTTCTCTTCACAAAATTCTCCTTTAGTTTGGGGAGCCTCTATTTCAAGGACTGCCCAGGTTTCTGCATGGCAAAAGGGGAAACACATTCTACAGTAGTGGTTTCCAGTCATATGATGAGAGACTTGTACTTCACCTCACCTCATGCTCAGGATTCTGCTCACTTGCAGACACGTGTTAGTGGGAAGTGTTAAGGAAAGCTATCTCTTTCCTTAAATTGGAAATTTGAGCATCTTTCTCAAGTCTTGGGTACACTGCACCTTCCACAAAAATTCCCTGACTTAGGTGATCAAGAACTTCTACAAGAAGGTATCTTTCTGTTTTCCCTTTGGCCTCAGGAGTCTTCTGAGGTTCTTGCTGTAGAGGCTTGCCTCTAGTAGATCTACGTTATTCGTTATCTATAGGCCTGGCTAGTGAAAGTTTTCTGTTGACGGATTCTTTTGTTTATTTATTATTAGCCTTAAGCCATAAATGGTGTGGGAAAACTAAAATCGTAGTTTTTAAGCTACCTTATATTTTTATCGGAGCTTGTGTACTCCAAAGTAGAGGCCAGTCCTCCCTGACGGTCTGATAACTGCACTCAGAGCTTGCATGTCGGACTGCTACCTAGGTGCCTGCTAGTTTAGAAAAACTTTCCATGTCTAATCTTGGCCCTTTCATCTTCCTTTTCTGAGTTAGTCAGATCTTCACTTTGTGGAAGGTCTCATTTCATCTACACTTTGGAGGGAGAAGAATAGGTGGTTGCCATTTCTTCTTTCTCTTTTGGCTGTCACTGACGACTGTGGCAGATGGCGTTGGAGATGCACATGTAAATGATTTTTATGGTATGGTATCTCTTTGCAACATCCTTGAGCTTAAGCTGTCAAAACTTGTCAAATATTCCTAAATCATACCACAGGCACCATGTCCAGATCCTGCTAGATATCACTTCAGTGTTTTTACACTAAGCAGCTCCAGAGCCATGTGAGAGCTTGTTCTGCATAGAAATGTTCAGTTCTAGTAAGTTTGCCATCGTGATAGTGGTGGTGAAC